GGGAATTGGGGAGATTTAGTCATTTACTTTTGAGCTCATGGAAAGAAGGGGTTGATAGCAACAGCTTACCCCAGTTAGCAGGCAGGCTCCCCACACAGCTGTGCTGGCCTATTTCAATTAGGATCCTTTAGGGCTTACATCACCTCTGGTATGCCAGTCCTAAGCCGCTCATGAGCCAGTACTGCCAATCAAGCCAAAATTCAACCACATGGTATAGTTTTTATGATGTAGACAGAAAATGACACGAACTTGTCTTATTCTGGTGAAAACACAAAGTTGGAAGCCAGCTCTCTAGAAGAAGAAAATTAGTAAACGCAGCAAGCCTGTAAAACTTGATTTAGACACATTTTCCTGTGATTATCTCAACACACTTAACTAGTAGGTTATTCATGATGATTCAAGGAATGCTCTCACTCAAGAAAAGACGAGGGCCCTCATGCTACGAGAGGTCACTTCTGGGTCACTGTACTCATGAGACCACAAGAAACAGTAGAATATGCAGAATGAGGGAAGAGTAGAATGAAACAAACAATTCTATGTGAGAAACTTAAATGATTAAGGCCTGGAACCTGAAACAGACAAATTAAAAGCAGCGCTGTCACTTGACCAGAGAAACTGGACTCTGTACATGAAGTTAGGAAACACCAAGAATGTGGAGAATTAGCAAACCAGGTGATAGCCTCTGTAAGTCCTTTCCTCCCTTAAATTAGTTCACAAACAGCTATGATGCCTGTATATAAAAGACATTCTACCAGGTGCTACAGGAAATGCAGACATTCAGAGGACACTATATTTTTTTCTGGAAGAGTTTAAAATTGTATTTTGATTAAACCATAAGAAGGAGCAGAACCAAATTACCAGACGTGTCTTATCCAAACAATTCCTGTGCAAAACGCAACAACATTAACTAGTTTTTTTTTTAATGAGTAACAGGTACAGTGGTTAACCACACTTTACTGATTAAAATTACACAAACCCTGACCTTAACTTTGTTATTATTTGAGCTTCGTGCAGCATCTGAGTACTAGCCTAAACCCATGGTGTGCTAGGGGATGGCTTTCCACCTTATTCATACGCATTGATAAAGCAGAATCAATATGTATTAACACTCATATAAAGGCACAAACAAATATGTTCACTTATCCATTTTCTCTCTTTTTCTCAAGTCTTTAATATCCATGTGGTCTTTCAAGGAAAAGTGGGGGCAGAAAGTGGTCCTGAACAGACCTAAACACTAAAAACAGGAGTCTGAAGAAACAAAATTGTAGCTGACCATGTCTAGACAAGAAACTTCACAAAAACAGTTAGAAAATAGCATATAAATAAATGCCTCATTATGCTCTGTAGATTTAGGTGAAAAGTCCTGAGGCTTGATTTAAAGAGAATGTAGGCATGAGAATAAGAAATAGATGTAGAGGGAACAGTGATAGAAAGGTACCTGTGTATGTGCACGCACGCATGCATGCATGCGTGCGTGCACACACACACACACACACACACACTCACACACTCACACACTCACCACTTATTGGAGCAGCCCACAATCTGCTGCAAATAAGGGATTTAACATTCATTCCACAAGCTAATGGTGCTTCTCGCCATCCAAGATAGATCCACTTAGATAATAGTGGAGGACAGTGCCAGAGCGACTGAAGGGAATGGGCTATTGTGTTTGACTAGTTTCCATGTATAAATTAGTGCAGAGAAGAAAAAGAAATTCAACAGAAAAACACATGTACTTTATTATAATTCTGAGTGTTACTCTCACAACTCCCACAATAGCAGGCGAAAGAGCTTAAAACCACTCAAAAGAAACAAAAAGCAAATGCAAATTTGATTAAATGCCTTTCTGACAAGAAGTGATTTGACTTCAAGTTTGGATGGACACATATGTCAATGGCCGGTCATGGTTTTTGCCACATTCCTTTGGAGCTACACAGTTGGGACAAAGGAGAGGGAATGAAAAAGGGGAACAGAGTGGGAAGACTGGGGAAGCTGGGTGATGTGACTAAATATGATCTGAATATCAGGATGAAATCTCTTAATCAGAAGTACTGTCCTACTGTGCCCAGAGTAAAATAGATATCCATGATGTATGAGCTTTGCATGAACATATGATACAGAGACACAGGGACCTCATTTTCCCAGAAAGCGTCCTCCAAGGGTAAAGGATTTTGACAAAACTGAGGGTCAATATTTGATATTCTCACATCCTCAAGAACCAATACAGGGGATTCAGCTGTCAGTGACAACGAACACTGTTTTGAAGTAGAAATCCGACTCACCACTAAACAAATGGGATATTTTCGGATCAAGTTAAAGGGATCTTCAAAAATCACCTAAATTAATTCTAAGAGTAGATAGACTCTTATAATGTATAAAATAATTATGGGGAAAACAAGCTACTTTGTTCCATTTCTCCATTCAGACTGAAGGCTGAGCTGAAACTGTCACACTTCTAGTTCTAAGCCAACTGCTGATGAGGCTCATGGGCTCATAGGTCAGTAATGTAATTTTGGTCACAAAGCTGATGGGGGCAGTTAACAAGCAAGTGTAACAAGTGCCCACAATCCTGTACATAACTTCAATGGTCAAGATGAGACAAAACCCCTAAATATCCAACAACGACTACAGACCAACTTACACCATTGCTTCCATCATTGCTAAACATTTTCCAACCATAGTATGAAGCAAACAAGTGATTTTCTCTCCATTATTTGACTTTTGTATTCAAATATAAGCTTGTTTCCCTATCTGTAAAATAGGTTTAAAAATGCCTATTTGCGGGGCACCCGGGTGGCTCAGTAGGTTGAGCATCCGACTTCGGCTCAGGTCATGATCTCACAGTCCGTGAGTTCGAGCCCTGCGTCAGGCTCTGTGCTAATAGCTCAGAGCCTGTAGCCCATTTTGGATTCTGTGTCTACCTCTCTCTGACCCTCCCCCGTTCATGCTCTGTCTCTGTCTCAAAAATAAATAAACATTAAAAAAAAAATTTTAAATGCCTATTTGCAAGCTGATTGTGCAGATTTCTTGTAACACGTTTCAAACAACTGGCCCAATATTTGGCACATTCAGACACACAATACGTGGCAGGTATTAATAATACTGTTATTACTCTGCCCAGGGATATATTTTGTTGTTCACAAGTCAGTTCTTTCTTGTGACTCTCAGAATCCCAATTCATTTAAATACAGACCTGAAACAAACCTGAGTTTGATTTCATTTTATCCTCACAATACAATTATTGTAATTTAAACAAAATATGTTTTATGTTTGAAATCTGATATAAAGAAACACCTCTTTTTTGCACATAAGTCTAATTATATGCTCAAGTACATATATGAATATTCAAGATGTCAAAGGGGGAATAATGCAATTTGCCAAATGGGTAGCTAAGCAGTCTACTCCTGAATAGGACAGTTTTTCCAAAATATAACGACATCATATTTTCATATGAAGATAGCAAAAAAGTAATGTGGACTGGTAATTGAACTTGTGATTTAATTAAATTAGGGGAATAACACACGCTTGTTGAAAATCACAAAGAAGGAAAGATGAGGCAAACTAATGGTGTGTATATAAGTAACACGTCCCATATGGAAAAAATGAGACACCTTTCATAAATTGCTTGCTCCACTAGTCATAAAGCACACCTAAACATTCTGCTTTTTATATTCTTCACAACAGCTTAAAGTTATAGTCTATTCATGCTTAAAATTCAGTTGGCCTTTAAATGTCTGAAAACCTGAAAATACATTTCTATATTTATAGCATTTGCAGTGCAGCAGTATGATTTCTTGGCTACAATGATGCAAATGAGAGGTGGGAATGTATAAAATATTTAAACACTGTCTGATTACTCTATCTGATGAATCTTTTTGGAGTTTTTCAATTTATACCAAATGGCTTGCTTCCTCTGTTCAAAATTATAGCGCAGATGAAATTTGTCAGAGTCTAATCAGAACAAAACATTCCTTTAGCATCAACGAATCAATGCAACCTATATATTCGTTACATTTTTACCTTGTTCCCTTCTTGCCTTATTGAGGAAGCGCTGGCATGCTATAAATGTGACAAGGAGAGCTACAATCACGTTTGTTTGGAATCAGTGTGTGCAAATTTTGGAATCAAACCTTCAGATGAGGTTTATGAAGCTGCCTGCCCAGAACACTCTGGTTTAAAAAAATGTGCATTGCTATTAATATTTTGAGTGTAGATTTTTTTTGGACAGTAAATGTTCATTTTCTGCCCATAAAACCAAGTATGAGTCACAACGGAACATTTACTTCGAGTCAAAAATGCAATGTGTGCTGATGTTCAAGAGCAGAGCATCTTATCACTGTGATTATGGAAAGCAGACACACACAAAAAGTCAGCATTTTCTTCTTCTTTAAAAGCAGATCTGAGATCAAAGACCATAATCCTCAATTCATAAATACTAGCATTAACTTGTATCCATAGAGGACTTACAGTAATTATGAGCTATAATCTGGGCTGGCTGCAAACGGGCTCTCATTCCGTCTTTTACCTGGTTCCCTAGCACATGTGCACAGCCAGAGAAGGATTCGTAAAAGGCAGTGGGGGAAAGCCCCTTACAGCCCATCCTTCAAAAATTCCAGGAACACCACAGTCAGTGAGTTTGATTTCAGGACGTCCCTTATTCAAATTCCAAGCATACACACCGCCATTTATACAGTCCCCAGCTCAGAACGCTAGGCAGTATATCCCAAAGTTTGAGTCTCAATATTATTATATATCTCTCACTATCCCACAGAGTCTTGCGGACCTTACTTAGCTTGGGAAGTTGGGGGTTAAAGTTCTGAAAGAAGTTTTTCCTTTTCTTAAAATCATGTAAATTATTTTACCTGGTGTTTGAAGATAAAGACACACACACACACACACACACACACACACACACACACACACACATATACACATTACCCCCAACAGCAACCAGGCTAAGTGGCAATAGCAACGTATTGAAATGAAAAGGCATTTACCAGGAGCAGGAAAGCCAGAAAGAGGAGCGGTGTGCCAGGAGTTGCCCGACGGCAGCATTCCATGCTTGGATCCTTGCCGGAATCCGAATCGGACACTGAATAAGCTGCTAAGTGCTCCTCTGCTTGCTGTCACATCCAGTACTGGTGCTAACACTCCAGCCCTGCCTATCAGCTTCCATCAGCCCTGCTCACATTTCCTGACCGAGG